CAGTGCCACGAGATTAACGAGGACCACCTCCGAGCCCTGGGAGACAACGGGGAGGAATGCCGCTTCCTGCATGCCCAGGCCTTCGTCAAACAGAACGGCACGAAACTCAACCGCGACAAGGGGCGCCACCCTATCCTCCTCGAGTGCGCTGACTTGCCTGACACCCTCGTCCTCCACGAGGGACTCAAGGTGAGATTCATGGAGTATTTGACCTGCTTGGTGGCAAAGTTGGACACCACCACATTGCAAGTTACTCTCTGCCTCATACGTTTTGCCTCTTGCCTAGAACGAATAACAAACACCGAACCTTCCCGCCCTCGACATGTCTTCTTTTACAATACTCAGATTGTCATCACCAAAAAACGTCGACCAGCAGCGTGGGATCGTCAACGCAACTTGTGGTCTCGTCAGGCGCTGGGAAGACACTGCGGCTTCGTTGGAGGCAGAGATCAACGAGCAGGACGTAGACCATACACGCCCCGCGTGGGTCGAGGTTGAGCTTACGACCGGCAAGGGGAGGGAGAGCACTGTCAAAATACAGCCCTTCGAGGACAAAAGCGTATGGGTGCCCTACTGCAGGGGGGTAGAGGTCAGCGGCGCGTACATCGTTGAGAAATGGCCTTTCATGGTCGCTGCTTACATGACCGTACACAGAGTGCAAGGGGTAGGGTTCGAAAGGGTGGCCGTGTGGATTCCCTCCAGAGGGTTCTTCGCCCAGGGTCAGGGGTACACCGCCGTGCCCAGGGGGAAAACTCTAGACGGCCTGTTCCTCCTCGTGTTACCAGACGATGATGTCTTGCAGGACAGAGAGTAAGCAAGAGAGTTCCTCAAGGAGGCGTTCCAACCGCCCATCGATGCCATCAACGACGCTCTAGCCGACATGCGACAAAAGGCACCGCCCACTGTTACGGTTAACGTGAGGGGTAGGGGAGTTGCTTACGCTACACTGTGGGACGAAAGACGGTCATACAACGCCCCAGACGGGTGGGCGGGTGTGTGGCCTGGAGTTCTGTACAACGGTGTGGGTGGGGCAACGCGTGTCGAGGGGGGGAATATGCACTTGCTGAGCGGTCCAACTATTAATCATCTTGTGCAATATAGCCAAGTGGCTACGAACGGAGAGAAGAGAGGCACACCGGTGTGTGACGAAGCACATAAGGAATTCCTCGAGAGGGGCAACATGACGCTGCTGCGCATGAACTGCCTTTGAGTACATGCGAGCAACACGGCACTCCTTTGACGACGCACACTGCACGACGCTCGAAACCCCGTGAAGTGTCTTCGAGCGAAGCGAGTAACGATGCCACTACAATATGTCGTACTCCAAAAACACTACAACAACAACACACCAAACCAGGCTATGAGGTTTTCTGTTGTCCCCATCGTCGAGATAGGTCATTATACAAAGAGTTTAATGTAGGATACTCTATTCTTTCACATTTATCGCCAAAATCTGAGTCTTTTCTTCGTGAAGTTTTCCTCTTGATCGCGGGCGTTAACTGCAAACCGCCGCCTCATGTACTACATGACAACAAAAATTGTGTTGTCGTCGAAGACCAGACAAACTCGAGTTTACTGTGATCGGTAGAATTCGGTCGAGCGTAGGACCTACGGCTGAGAGGGTGCATGCCGTAGTCGTTAGACCGTTGACTGCACATCTCCCTCCAAAGCCGGGACGGAGCACGCCGGGTTGTCACCGGACCAGGCTCTCCCATCTCGAAGCGCGAAGCGACGTGAGGTATTCGGCGAGCCGCATGGAGGCCGCAGGGGGGGGGAGGGGGGGGCGCGGATAAAATCGGGTATGTATGTCAAACTCACCCGGATTCGACCAGCGGGGCCCCCGTTTCCTCCGAGGAGAGGCGGCGACAACCTTGGCGAGCTCGTGCTCTTTCACTTCCAAGGCCTGCGAGCACGGTGATGACAACAAAGTTGTCGGAGGAGAGGGAAGAGAGGGGAGGTTGGCTCTCGAAAAGAGAAAAAACAAGACAGGTCATGGCTGTCAACTGGCGCCCACGGTAGATGGGACGAACACATTACCATCGTTGTGTTCGTGTTTTTGATAAATTAGGAACACAAAAAATTGAACAGTCAATAACGCTTACCCGCTGCAGCTCTTCGAGCTTGGCCTGCCGCTCGCTTAGCAGCTCCGTCGCCTCAAGGGCGGTATCCTGAAAAAAAGGTACAATAGCTCCCAGATTAGAACCTCGCAAGGAAAGCACAGGTACAGCAGTAGCTCATGCAACACCAAACATCAATTCCGGAATACTCGGACATTAGTAAAAGCGTCGACGTTGTGTTATGTTCGAAAACATAAGAGCCATTCGGATACGAGCTCGAATACCACACTGGTAAAAATAATTTTTGAATATATAGCTTCTGTTTTGATACGTAGGTTCCCGCCTTGGAGAAGAGAAGAGAAGACAGACCGCGCACGAGCGCACCCTACTACATACCCGCTTACCCTGTGCTGTCGCGCTTCCTGTCGAAGCGAGACCACCTCCATGGAGAGCCGCGTCTGAAGCGTGTCCGCCTCCCGCAGCTGAGACTTCACCTCGGATAGGAAATGGCCCTGTCGCGTGCCGCATGGGCAGAAAAGAAGGAGAAGCGACGCGGGAAAACATAGTGTTTCAACAAAGAGTCTTTCTTTGGCTGCTGTGTATGTGTGTGTGTTTTCGTCCTATTTGTTTTTGCCACAATCCCCCCGTTTTTCGTGGTGAGACGTGTACTACACCTTTCAGTGTGTAGAGTACTACACTTTTTCAGCGCATTTTTTCGTACAGCTACTGTACAACCATCCAAGGTTTGTATATTTTCCAAAACAACTGCGCACGAGGGCAACACGCTGGAGACGTGAAGCGGAAAGCGGAGGGGTTTCAGCTGGCAGCTCCTCTCACACGAAAAAACTGCTCTGTCGTGACTACTGTAGGGAGGTACACTCGAGGTCCGAACTTTTGAGAAAACGGTCGGTCATACACACGCGTGAGGTAGGCACTCAACGTAGAAAAATAACGTTTGCGTGGGTTACCAAGGGAGGTTCAGCGAAGGTTGTACGATATCAAGGAACTGTCGCTGCGGCGCGGGGCATCGTGTTCCGAGGCAGAAGGGAACACGCGGGAAGAGGGGTGTCAACTACACCGTAGGAACAAAAACCCAACGGGTTTCACAAACAACCGCCTGTGGACCGACACATGGACAATCTCGGAACCATTTTCGGAACCACTTTAGAAACCACTTTGGGAACCATTTTCGGAACCAAGGTGCGAGACTCCGGTGAATATTCGTGACCTGGTCGG